CAACTCAACACGTCGTGATCACTTGAAAGTTAGTTGAGACTATATTTTTTTCTAACTATTTAAAGTGTATCCTTAATACGTCTTTCTGTACGTATTAAGGATACACTTTAAATAGTTAGAAAAAAATATAGTCTCAACTAACTTTCAAGTGATCACGACGTGTTGAGTTGCCTCTCTACCTTATAGTATCTGTTTTATTCAAAATATAAAACATGTAAAAACGCGTTTAAAATGTGAAACGAAAAAATTTTCGTAAAAACCGCATATTTAAACGCGTTATGAACGCATAGTACTATCTAACACCATAAAAACGTCGTTCGAAATGGCACAGCGTTACTAACGCGTTTAAATGTGTGATTTTAATGAATTGGAACGCCTTTGTTTTTGGGACCGTTTTTACGTATTTTTTTACTAGTTTTGTCCGACTGGGTAGATCCACAATTGAACAGACTATATTGTGGTATAAATATTTTTGAAACATAATTGATTAGGAAAAAGTTTCCAAGCTCTGAAAAAAAGTATATTTTGTAGAACACAGTTTGTTCAATCACGGAAGACCTAGCACGCATTTATACGACGCAATCTTCAAGTGGGACAGCGTTTAACAAATTTGAAAACTTTTCCTAACCAATAGTTTTTCAAAAATATTTATACCAAAATACAGTCTGCTCAATTCTGGATCTAAAGATATATTTTTGAAATGTTATATATTCTTTGAGAAGCGCAAAATCTTTACAATAAAAAAAGTATCTTAAAATTTTATCGTCCACTTTACAACAAAATATAGACATACCAAAACTAATAGTGTAACTTGTTTGAATGAAGCCATGACGCAACTTTAAAATTGTATGCTTCAACAAATTGAAAAAATGTAAAACAAATATATCGTCAGTTGTTTCTGTTTTTTTATGTTTGTTAAGTATTTTGATTTATATTAAAAAAAACATGGAAGAAATCAAATGAATGCATCAGTTTTTTTTCCAATCATTGACATGGTGCATGATTGAAGGTAGGAAGAAAAAGAAAAACAAATTCTCAAAGAATTCATTTCACTCTCATACATTTCTTCGATTCTGTTCATTTAAGTATACATTATGAAAACAATAGGTTAAGTGAATAATTATTTCTGACATGAATAATAGTTCCAAAGTTAACACAAATTGACCATCTTTCTCTTATTGACAGGCTTAATGATCGAAGTGATCTAGCATCCGTTATTTTTTGCACACAAATGAATGACTATTCTCTGGTGAGATGCTATGGCACAAAATACGGATAGTCGTAACTAATGTGTCGGGCAACATGTAATTTCTTTTTCATAATGTTATTCGTTAAGATCAGATTTCACAGAGATCATTAAGACAGAGAATGTTTTGTTACAATCGTGCAATAAAATTCTCATATATTTTTCTTCAACACTCACGTGTGGTATTTCGATTTTCTACTTGTCAAAAAATTACAGATTTGATCTTGATTCAGTTATGTATTTACTGTAGAAGTAATGCACTCATTTAAATGTTATTCAGAATAGCGAAAGTAGTGCAAATATACTTTTATTTGAGAATGAAACAGACAAAAACTACCAAAAGATTGGTGCTCAAATCATCGATTTTTATTTCAAGTATTTCATAATTCCCAACTAATTTTAACACATAGTACTTCAAAATGATCTTGTTCACTTGCTTTGACATATAAATCATATTGTCCTTCGGGGGCCACTTCGGGTATTGTAGCATTAAATATAATCATTTTCAATGGACCAGGATGTGTAGGTAATTTAATTCCGAGATCATCTAATGGTCCAATTATTGATGGTAAAGAATATCCTCGATAAACGATTGTCTTATTATAATTACCATATATAAATGATTCTTTTGCTACACCTGACACGGATACTGTTAATAATTCATTGCGTTTAGGTGGCCACATATTTGCGTCGACTTTTTCAATTGACAACTGATCAGTCCATGTACTACAATTGATCCATTGTAGGGGTATATCGGAGACTAAATTAAAAGTTCACATAATCAGTTAATTACTTGATTGCTTCTCTTTTTAAGCCGTTTATGAAATAAAAAAACAAAATTAGTGAAGATTCATGACAGAAAAGTTTCTGCACCTATGATTATTTTCTATTAGAATTTTCATGTTTTTAGCGGTTTACAAAAAAAAGAAGAGCAGTACGCACCTTTTTGAATATTTCCAATAGCATTACTAGTCGATGGTAATACAAGAATAAGAACAATTAAGAAGTACATATTGCTTCTTCTATGTGATAAAATAATTTCAACTCGATTAACGTTTATCTTCGGCAAAATAGAAGCAGATGCACTTATTCTCATTCATACTACATTTTTTTTTATCAAAAATAAAATAATAGCATTCTATTCTTCATAAACGACTGTGGATGAAATATAATCCTCCTTTTTTTGACCTATTATATTTCTTTTCTGATCACGAAATTCAGAGTTCGTGTCTTACTGATGATAATATATACAAATACAAACGTTCATGTTTTCTGTTCGTTTCAGATGGATCATTTGTTGACATTTTATGTATTAAAAAAATAAAAAACATAGTGCTTGATGCTTATGACGTGTCGTACAATCAATACCAAATTCTTAAATTAAAGAAATCCATCTCTGCTTGAAACGGTTTTGCTGTCATTGAGCTACCAAGAATTGTGTTTCGTTTCAGCCACATATGAGTATCACGCATATCATAATCATTTTTTCTTTCTAATTCGGTTACTCCGAATTTAGACTACCATGATAAATTGTTGAGTTCTAAGTAAATTAAAAACTTCATATGAGTGAGACATGCATTCCCATGCTTCGAAATCTGATTCACATAATACACTGTCGATAATGATTTTAACGATGTCAGATAAAAAACAATCTTTCGAACGAAGGTGCATCAATTAGAGTTTTAACGAAAATGATACATTTATTAACACGTTTTAATGGTTTTTAAAAACAATCGAAAAACTCTGTAATATGTTCTTGTCCATACCCATCCTCACAAGAATTGATCGAAAGTTTATTCAGTTTTGGAGCTTGACAGAAGAGTCGTTGCAGTAATATTTTCACAAAAGGATCAGAAAAATCTGGAGACTCTTCTCCTGCAACGAGCTCATACAACTTTGGTAACGTCCGATCAAACAGCAAGAGAGATGATGGGTTATGGTCAACAGTATGATAGTATTTTGTGCGGAAACGGTTGCATTCTAGCATCAACGTTGGAACATTGGTAATCATGCGCGTTATTTGTTCTCTATTCTGTACGTGATTATATGGATATGGATACGTGATTTTCATCACTTCTAAAATCAATTAACCAGTCAGAAAAATCTGAACATGACGCAAGAATCTGCTTGTGTATCGCACAAACATCAATAAAAAAGATGACATATCTACATTCAAGCAAGAAGTAAATATCCACAAGTTGGCGCAGATCTGTAAATATTCGACGCCATCGCTTGCCATCCATGAAATCTAGACTTACTAAATCGTTTTCTGTTATCTCACAGGAAATATTGTATTTGAAACGTTGAAGATTCGACATGCTCATTAATATGTATATGAATTGATCAAATGATAATAAGTCGTCTAGCCTAGTAAACAAGTCACTCACCAATCTGTATCATGTACTATTAGTCAACGAATTTGAACAGTTAGATACTGAAGGCAATGGAAATTGTGCATAAGCACTACTAAATCATTGGTATTTTTTATTGTAATAGTCAAGTGTGTCATTGTTTCATTAGCAGAATTGGACATTGATATTTATGTTATATAATCGATGTCAATTAAGAATCATTTTTGTAATAGACGACTTTTACGCATCAATTGTAGAACGTGTTGTGTGAGACGAATATTTGATTCTTCATTATTGTTGCTTTGGAATTTGATTCTTAATTCTTTTAAGCTCTTGAGTAACATTTATTTTTAGTAAAAAATAGATCTAATTCAATGGTATGAAGACCAAATAAAGTAAGACGCTCTAAACTTAGTAGTTTTTCCTCGATTAGACTTATTTTTTAGCGAAAAGTACTAATTGATTCACCACGGGCTTCTCATTTGAGATAACCAGTGAGCGCACCTGTTGACCCAAAGTAGATTGGAGTAAAGGCTCACAATATTTATTGAAATGGTCGAAACTCAAATTCGTCATATCCTTATGGTATCGATAATCATTTATCATACAATTTAAACGATGATTCAGATCATTGAAACTTTGAAAGACTTCGAATGGATTCAGAAACGAAGAGATGAACAACAAAGCCTCAACGGGTAAGGTTTCTAATGACATATTTGTCACTTTTTTGCGCTGTTGTTATGAAAATGATCTTGAAATAAATAAATTTTCATCTCGCGTTTGATAATACATACGGATAAGTAAAAACGAGACGCGTACTTATTCTTGATACTATGTATATTTCTCTTAGAAATTGATGCTTCTAAAGCGAACGCATTTTGAGATTCGCAGCTTCCTCATTATGTAATGTTTTAACTTTTTTTTATTCTTGAACTACAACATCAAATTCTGTCGTATTTTATATAAGAAGAATTCTCGAACAGCTGGATATTAATGATCGATATAAGCATTCGGTGCCTTTCTCATAAGGTAATTATTTAATAATTAAAAACGAACGAAAACTAGAATAACTAACCAGTGATGTAGTCGCTCTGATTCTAGCGAAGACAACACAATTCGAAAACTATAACTAACTATCTGCAGACACTACGTTAATTGGCATCAATCATCGATATATATGTCGTGTCGAAGTTACTTCAGATCAAACAAATATTATATTATAACCAATTAATTGATGATATTTACATTAAAATATTTATTTATAGTGAAGTTTTCATTTCAAGAACATACATAGATCTTATTTTTACGAATAAATATAAAAGTTATGATTGAAAAAAAAATCAAACAGTGCACTTCGTTTATACTTTATATGATTGTAGATCTATCCAGATGCTACTAAGTTTTGTAACTGATAGAACAGATCTCTACTACACTAGAGCCTGATTTATATAGCCCTTAAGGATAGAATTACCACAGCTCCACTATTTATTTTAATCCGAGATTGTTTGAGCTTTTTCAGTGAATCGTGGTTTTCATCTTGATATAATATGACAAGATTTATAATGTAGATAAGGCGAATATCTAGCTGAGGATAAAAGTGAAGACAAAATCGAGGTATAAAAACTAGCTCAAGATACAAAATTGCTTCTGCGAATTACGCCTTTTTTTCCCAGCGTCATCAAAATACGTTATATACTACGAAGGATACTTCCGATTATTAATATAAAATTAAAGTACATTATATAATGTATTAACTAAAGTGCACTGTTTGATTTTTTTCAATCAGAACTTTTATATTTATTCGTAGAATTGAGATCTATATTTTTGAACTAAAAAAATCACTATAAATAAATATTTGAATGTAAATATCATCAATTAATTGGTAATTATTTAATATTTATTTAGTCTGAAATAACTTCGTCGATCGACCGATGTAACTTCGCTACGACATATACAGATAGATCGATGACCAATAAGAAAGTAGAAAGAGGAACGAGAATAAAAGACTGTTGAGACGATAGATAGTGTTTATTAAAAGAAGAATAATAATTTTTACTTATGAAGATGGTCATTTTATTGCTCTATGGAATAGTTTCAGTCTTATTCATTTCAAGAGTTTATTTTGTACTCTAAAATCAAACAATTTCTCATACCAACGAACCCTCTTCTAGATATTGAAGGGTGTGGATGCTGTGGGTGTTGGATGTAGATCTTCTCCTAAATCTCACCCACACGCAAATAGACATTTTATCCATCTTTTGCTGAACTGGGCGTCATCACCATATTTTTCCTTTCCTAAGAAATGACTATCAGATGGACAGGTATTATTCTGTTATTGAGACTATATACACTGACGTCCATCTTTGTCTACGCACTAGACTACCATATCAATGACGGTCAGTTGGCAAATATTATAGTGTTGATGCTCGACTCTATGCCTCAACATTTTTGTCTGTTATATTTATTTTCTGCTGATTAGTCTAGACGTAGTCAGCATACCAAGCTGACTAGGATGCAGATGTGGATGTGGTTCTTCTCTTCATTCATCCACACCCATAGCCTCTTTTGAATTTCTGAATGAACAATAGCACAACTGACAGTGTGCGGTGGGAGTATGATGCGCATGCATTGACATGAATCATATCATCGTCCCTGCTTTGTTGTAAACTCCAGAAATTTTTTCAAATAAAAAAAATAACGAATGTATTACATATTTAATATATTGATGCTTGATGGATTTGGTTCAGTCTTCTCCTGTTTATATTAGAGAGTATAATATTTATGTTATTGAGCGAATTGTCCTTCCGAACCGTTAGTTTTAATGAAAGGTAAAAAAAGGTTAAGATACGTATGAATTGCTGGATGTTGAATGGAAACAGATTAATACAGCAACGAATCGATTCAGCAAAGTTTGAAAAATATTCTACAAAACAATAGATTAATTTAGCGAAGAATACATTATTAATTAAGATAATACAAACCAATTTTAATTTACTCACGAATTTTAATGATATGTTTCTTGATGAATGTATATCATCTGCTATAACATCTAATTGTATTATTAAAAATGATGCCAATAATAATCCAACAATAAGAAAATCGCAGAAAATCATTGAACCAAGAACGACGGTGCATTCTTGTTCATATGGCGTTGCACAACAATGAACATGTTAGGATTTAAATGAGATCAATGAATGTGTGATATCACTTATTCAACCTAAATAAACTGGTTTATTAACAACTGAAATTAAAAACCAAACGGATGTATTGCTTAAACAAAAGAAAATAAAAATAGATTAATTCAAACGTCTTCAAAATCATGCTCATGCTCAAACGTACCTGAGACATAAGCAAAAGAAAAAATTATAGAATCTCAGACTAATGTTAGCCATGTTTGAAAGAAGGTATTTCAAATGATTACTTTTGTTTTTTATGTTCAAAGGTTTAGTTTTTGAAATAAAAGAAAATAAAGTATCGAAATGTACACAAATAAGGAAAATAACCGAAAGAAAATTTTACAATTTAGACGTGTGCCACATTTCAAATTCGCATAGATTGAATTGACAGCTTTTTGATCTGCATCTTACATCTTTTTTAGAGATACCAATGTGTCTCTACTGTATATTATAACCTATTCTAGTCGAGAATGTAATAGAAAGAAGAAAAAAAAGCGAGATGATGAGAATACTCTTGAATTATTCTGTAAGAACGAAAGAAAAGGGTGTAATAGGATTTATCTCAGTTGACAAAAGTATTAGAAAGAGAGTAATGTCTATTCTTCAAGCAGCTCTCCAACTTTCTTATTATGGTCCCATTGTACTCTTTTCAATTGGAACTCCGGCAGCCTTATTGAATGCTATTATTTTCATGGGTATAAAAACTCTTCGACAATCTTCTCCTAGCTATTATGTTCTTGGTCAATCACTCGCCGATATGAGTGTATTGTTAGCTGTGTTACTCCAAGCTATACCATCAACATCAATGTTTGCCTCATCCATCACATGTAAATTGAGTATGTTTTTTCTTCAATCAACATCGTGTTTAGCAATGAATTTTCTGTGTTTGGCTGCATTCGATCGATGGGCATGTACATCTCAATTAGTTCGCATACGCCAATGGAGTTCATGTCGAATAGCTCGTCGTTTGTTTCCTCTTCCTTTTCTTATCTGGCCACTGGTCAATATTCCTTTTTTCATCTATTGTGACTTGGTACCGCCTACTTATACTTGTTGGTTTACCAGCAGATTATTTGAACAGATTGCGAATTATTTTCTTGATCCTATGCTGGCTTTTGTTTTTCCACTTTGTATTCTCATCGCTTTCGGTCTGTTAACGTGTCGAAATATTCGTCGTGTCACTCATATTCGACAACAACCTACTCAAACTCATTCGCCAATGTGGGAACAACAAATGACGAGAATGATAGTTACTCAAACTCTTTGCAGTATTATATGTGCACTTCCTCGAGCCATGTTCGTTATGTATATGGCAGCTACAGTCGAAGAAGATGCTAAGAAAAGTTTCGATCAAATATCTATCGAACTGCTTGTCAATCAATTGTCTGCCATTATTTTATGCGTCAATTTTCCTTCAACCTTCTTTATTTTTATTTTCGTGTCACCACGTCTTCGAGAAACGATTAAAATACATCTGAAACGTCTATTCAATTTGAGACATAATCAAATTGGTGCTGCGAACATTTCTCTCATGGGACCACGAATAATTACGCGTCAAACAGAGAGAGAAAATGTTAATCCGGCTATGGCAATTGAACACGTTGGATGAGATGGACATTTGACACGTTACTTGTAAAGAGAATATCTGTTTACAAACTTTAATGTCCTGTCAATTTATAACTCTTGAATAAAGAGTAAAAGAGAGACAGAGCATTCAGAGAGCTCACACGTGGAACGCCACTAAAGCCTCTGTTTAGCATCAACGAAGTAAAACGAAAGAATCATTACTGAAGAACATTGTTATGTGATCTTTCACGTACAAAATAAGTGACGAAAAATGACTTCAAAGTACTTTTCACTAGTTGATTTTCATACTTTCTTCAGTGTAGTCGATAATTTGCGAGATATCATTGTATTTAATAGTACTTCATCACTATTAAGTAATTTATAACATAATGTCACTCGAAATGCTGGACATAACCGGACAACATAAGTCGTCCGTAGTAGTTTCCACTATTTAAACACTTTTCATTAGAAGTATTATAACTTAAACGACAATGCACACATGTCACCTATCAATTGCATTCGTATAAAAAGAATATCGAATAACTGGCTTAAGACAAAAAATATCAAAACACATTTTTTTTAATTATTTCATCAGTTTCAATGAAGAAACGGAAGAAATCCGTCTTAACATTTTTTGAGCTCATCATGTAACACGATAACCAAGGGAAATATTTTTTCTTGAAACTACTCTTCTTTCATTCTCCGCACAAAACTAGGCACACCATGTTCTTTTTAGCGCGTGAATTATTGTAGTTCTTGAGAACATTGTGTTTTTTAAAAGTAGCATAAAAAACTCTTAAAATTTCAGCTACAACAGTGTTTTGCTTATAAAATCTATAATTTTTGTTGAATGTTTTTGAGCGATATCTAATTCGAAAGAGCATTAAAAACTAGGTGTGTGTATAGTTGTTTTCTGCATCCACACCCACATCCTTCTGATAGAATAGACTAGTCTTGATGACTGCACCGGATCTTTTAGACTAGATCTGAAGGATGAAGAAGACGTTTTGAAGTAGACATGTTGTCTTTCACCACTTTCCTTTTGCTTATCTGGGTAAACAAAACTGAATATGAAGATGAAACTAAGAGATATCCTTTTTATCAAAAACTATATTGTATTTTGACAATTCAATAGAACTACCTGAGTTGATGTTTGCATAAACGACAACATCTATTTAAATATTCAAACTAAATTATTCGTTACATTTGAAAATGATTCTTGTGCAGATTTAAATCGAGTGTGTCGGCATCGAAAATTTCAACATCAAACTTGAAAAATAATTGAAGCTTTTTCTTGACATAAAATGAAATCTTGACGATGAAAATTGATCATGGATAACATTCTGAATAGTTTGTGTGAAAAAATGCTCGCAAGGAACAACGATGAAGAAAGTATCTTTGACAGAATTCATAAATTAATGTTTCATCAAAATGAGTTCATCCAGAAAACTGCTTTTGAATAGATAGTCGAATGAAATTCGTTTCGAAAATCGATCATGGGACGACTGTTATTTCTAACGTATATGATGATCGATGAGCGAACCATTCATCTTTGCCTGTCTTTATCTTCTATCATGTTCGTTTCATCACTGATTACAATTCAAAAAGTAGAAATGGTTTGGTTTCGTTGTATCAATATCGAAGGCTTCGAATAAGTTCTTATCAATCTCGTCAGTGAGATGGTTTTTCGATTGGTGTTCTGATCTAATAATCGATACGTTATACTCATATTCTTTACGACGATACTTGCTCTAGCTGTTGTTATTATAATCATGTTACTCGTCCTTTTATAGAAAGACAAAAGATTGCAACAGAATTTAAGACAAGTAAGTGGACATCAGATTTAGCTATTGAATTGTCTCTATAATAAAGAATCGAGTCAATTTTATCATATTCAAAAGATTTATTGACAGTGCAGTTTAAAGAATTCGTGAATCGTTCCACTGCTTGCATGTTCTTTTGAATGTCATGGCCTTTCAGATCTTTGTTGATAATTTGCTAGTCTTTTTTTGTTTTACTCTTTTCTGCAATTCATTTCATCAAATTCGTTTTTTTCTTTTTAATATGTTGTAATCAGATTGAGTTTAGGCAATTTTTTATTTCAAACGATTCTCATAAAATGTTTAATACTATGCCGATTCATCCAGCGTTTTAGAGTTATTTTTTGAACGAATAAATTCTTTGTGCGTGGTTTTGTGAGAAAAACATATGATACTAGAGTTTGAGTTATAAAACTCACTTAAATAGTTGTACCGTTTTTTTCTATTTAGAATCACATTCTACATTGCATTGCTGGTTGACGATATAGCATAGCGGAACGATCACCATTTTTCTTCTCGTCAATTTTGAACAGTTTTGTTATTTTTGTTAAATATTATAATTAGAAAAGTGTTTGGTTATTGTACTTGTATATTAAATTTCATTTCTTTCTGTGAGTGTTTATATACTTACGAGTCATCATCAGTTTTATATACATATGTGTGTTCTTTTTCTTCAAGTTGTGAGTACTCTAATATCGTATAGTGACACTATTTCGAGTGTTATATTTCTTTTCTTTTTCTCTGTGTTCTTTGATGGCGTCATATATGTTTTTTTTTCTTTAAAAAGTTATTTACATGTGAATTGCTCTTCTTAATTTCTTGTTTATCTATTACGTAATTGGTACTATATGACAGTATTCTATGACTCTAAAGGACTTAATTCGACTGAAATTAGTTTTGGTTTCAATATACTATGGAGACTTACGAACTTCTAAGAAATATATGGAATCGCTCTATAACTTATATGACTACATCACTTTATTTAGCAATTCTTGTGATAACATCAATTTAGTCTTATATCTACAATAGAATAACAACATAAAGAGTACGGATTTCAGTGAAATGAAGATCCACACTCGCAACCATACATCTTTATCTGTTATTTCTTGGTCTTGATAAATCTTCTGATCCTCGCATTAAATTGTGTAGTAAGAATATAATTAACTGTAAAGGCAATGCAAGAATTCCAAGTCACTGTCTTCAATCCGAATTCGATTTCTCACCTCAACTTCAAAGTTGTGCGTGTACATATCAACTTGATCAATCAGCAGCTCATGCATGGATCGGATACTCACTTACGAAATCTATACTTACCATGATGATTCTTTATTTGTGATGTCTCTATCATGGTTAGTTTTCATTTTTTTTCCTTCGGGTAAACTATTATTGATTTGGTCGATTGGACTATATTCTAGGCTGATTCTGGCTGATCGACATGATATAATGTGTATCGTCCATATAGTCGTAAATGAAGATTGAAATATTGAGTAGGTAGTTTGGTGAAGTAAATTTTGCAATCTTCGGACATATTACAAACATTATTTCATTGAAATGTTTCAAGAAAAATGTTAAATGAAGTTTCAGAGCTGAAATAATTATAACTGCCTTAATTTTAATCTAGATAAAGCCTTAGTATCACTCAAAAAAATCTTTATGATTCGATGCAAAATCTTATTAATAAATATATATTCTCAGATTCGATGTTTCAATAATAGAGTTTCAAAATGGTCTCTACAATTAAACTTTCAGGATTCTATTAGGATTGCTTAGCACGTTTTCCATCCTTAAAGGAGTCGAACGGACTGAAAATATCATTCAAGGTATCGGCTTATCCTTTTGATTTAGACTATCTCTACAAATGAGTGACAATCCAACTCAATTAGAATCATAAGCCAACGAATTATTGCTTGATCTATTCGATTATATTGGTATAAATGATTTGTATTGTGCCTGTTGGAGACTAAATTCACGATTAAATACTCTTCTTCGATCGCTCAACAGTATGTCTCTTGCCGTTGGGAAGGACGATAAATATGTTCTGATTGATATCTTGTAATATTCTTTTTTTCCTTTCCTTCCATTTAGGTCTATGCAGATGCATTGATTGAATTCGAACGATATCTTCAAAGAACTTTACATAACAAAAATGCGTAATCATCAGTAGAAAATTCCGTTTGCTTTTTTCGATTTATCATGAAAAATAAAACAATATAATATTTAGGTATGACTTTTGTACATAGGCATATTTGTCCACTTAATTATCGAATTTGAGTACAATTTTTTAAAATCTAATTGATACTGGTTTATATTATTTCATGATACATGTCAAGAAATACAATTTATTTTATTCGAATGAACACAAAAGATTTTATCCATAAAATCATTATAGAGAGTAGAGTGTGAAGAAATAGGAATGGGAGACAATGTACGAGATATTCGACTTGTGTTATCGAGGAAAACGTTCTCAATTCAACCAGGTTTTGAGGAGATCACCACAATTGATCTCCTCAATCTAGTTATTGCTCAACTCGAATAATTTAGTCTTTGCAAGCGCAAGATATGTCTCATGTTCTTAGTCATATTTCACGATTAAAAGAGACGAGAAGGCTTCCGATTGTATCTCAAGTTGTAAATCAAAGCTCGAAATTCGATTTTCAATATTAACTGATGAGGTCACGAGTTTCTGTTGAAAAAGACCAATCAAAATCTGATATCTTAAGAACGAAATCACAGACAACAGAACTCGTCTAGGTCTTAAATGCAGCCTAGAATGAATCTTAGACTAGCAAACGATCGCACAGCTCGATTATGCTCTGGTGAAAATCCCGAACGACCACCTCTAAATATTTCTTGAATGAAGTTGAACTAGACGTCTTCTCAATAGCTGAACATATATGACGAATATTTTGTGTAAAGATGTCGCATTACTGTATCGATGAGCTACATATGCTTTCAATATGTGGATTTTGATCCCTCAATATCAATGTAATACACAGAATAAGGTGCCATAACAGTGAAAACCGATGTCTGTGATGGCCACTCTTTCCGATGGTACGTAAGCAAGCATTGTAAGTGGTCATCGTCACGTTAGACATTTTTCACCGTTTACGACCCATTATATTCTACCTGGATCTGTCTGATCTCATGTGATATCTCTGATTTGCATTTGACAGTAAATAATTCGTTTAAATGATAGTATGGAAATATAAACAAAACTTGTGTT